TTTTTTTTTTTTTTTTTTTTTTTCGTTACAATTGATGGCTATGGTATACCCGCCATCTGACGCTTGCTGTATCCAACGTCTGACACTTCTTGGATACTACTGATTACTATAATCACCCAACGTCTGACGTTTATTGAGTACTACTGATGACTATAATCAATCAACGTCTGATGCTCGCTGTATACCACTTCGCTTGGCCGATTTTAGTCACTCGATAAAACTTTGCATTTGTTCTTCATTTTAGGTAGAAACAAGCACGTCTATGTTAGGATATTGCTCATTCGTGAAAAAAGTCTTTGGCAGTAGATTGATGAACTGAGGGGAAAAAGTCTTTCAGAAATTTGGAGAGAAACAAAAAAGTTTTCATTTTTTAATCTGTATTTAGCATCTGTATCATCTATTTGATGAAGATACTGTTCAAAATACTGTCCTTCTACTGCAACGCAAGTGTTACAGCTAGTTTGGTCTCTCGAGTCGATTAGCATCAAAGAATAAACTTACCGAGCAAGTGAGAGAGAAAATGAAAACACATCTCTAGAACGGAGCGAAAACGAAAGACTTTCTTTTCCTCCTCCACTATAATAATCTCTCGAAGTTCTGACATTTAAATTCGGGATTCTCTTTCTCTGTTTTACGACAAAATTCATTTTTTCATCCTTCAATGAAGTCAATGGTCAATCTGACCATAGCCGGGCTGTAAGAAAGTCAGCAGTCATCGGTGTATTAAAAGAATACAATCAAAGTCCGAAACGAAAGAGGATGTCGAAGAAATGTCTGCGAGAGAGACCAGCGTCTACACGACGCTGTAAAACACGTTCAATCACTATTCCCGAGATTGATGTTGGAAGTAGGAGAGACAGGAAAAGTTAACTTCGGTGGAACTTCTTCCTGCCGTTGCTCGTCGGCCAGGTATGGCTCCTGAGAATTGTTGCCTCTGCTTTCAGGTTCTCGAAGAGACGATAAACATGAACCACTTTGATTCGTTCAAGAGGGCTGACGTGTACGCTCTCGGGCTGATCCTCTGGGAGATCGCGAGGCGGTGCAACGTTGGCGGAATTCACGACGAATATCAGCTGCCGTTTTACGACCTGGTGCCTTCTGATCCGACGATCGAGGAGATGCGTAAAGTTGTGTGCACCGACAGACAGAGGCCATCGATACCAAATCGGTGGCAGTCGATCGAGGTTCGTGTTTCAACCTCTCCTACAATGATCTTCAACTTTCATTGCAACAGCTCTTGCACCGACAATATCCATTTAATATCGCAATTAGACTAAATATGCTATTAACAAAAAAAAAAAAAAAAAAA